GTTCAAGTATCAAGATGAAGATCAGAAAAGCAGCGGGCACTAGCTCAGACTGAAAGGCAATCCATGCTTCAGCAAACCTCAGACTGCTGTCTCCTCAGTGTGGCTGGAGAATCCCAAGACATCACTGTCTTATTATCCTCAATGTGACTGGAGCATGAATGTCTGATACTGACCTTGCACCTGTTTTATATGCCTCCTTAGTTCTGGGATTAACGGCATGTGATCCCAGGTGCCAGGATCAAAGGGTGAGCCGTTTCTCTTTAGGACTGGATATATCTTATGTAGATCTGGGTGGCCTTGGACTCACGGAGAGCCATCTACTTCTTAATCCTGAGTCCTAGGACTAAAGGTGTGTGCCACCACCTCCTATATTCTGGCTGCTGGGATTAAAGATGTGTGTCTGGCTTTTGTGGCTTGTGGCTGACTTTGCTTTCTGAATCCTCAGGCAAGCTTTAATAAATAATAAATAATGTATCACCCACAGTATAAGATCTTTTTTTTAAATTTATTTTTCAGTTTTACAGTATAAGATCTTAACACGCTTTCTTTCTTTTTTTTGTTTTTTGGTTTTTTTTTTTCTTTTTTGAGACAGGGTTTCTCTGTGTAGCTTTGGAGACTGTTCTGGAACTCATTTTGTATATCAGGCTAGCCTTGAACTCACAGAGATCTACCTGCCTCTGCCTCCCAAGTGCTGGTACTAAAGGTGTGTGCCACCAACCTGGCATCTAACAAGCTTTTTAAAATTATCTACAGGAGCCGGGTGGTTGGTGGTGAATGCCTTTAATCCCAGCACTCGGGAGGCAGAGACAAGTGGATCTCTGTGAGTTTGAGGCCAGCATGGTCTATAAGAGCTAGTTTCAGGACAGACTCCAAAGCCACAGTGAAACCCTGTCTTGGAAAAAAAATTACCTACAGGACTATATTCCATATCTGAAAAACTGAAATCTAAATAACCAAAAACCAACTTTTTCTTTGTTAAAACTAAACCTTGCTGAGGTGTGTGTGTGTGTGTGTGTGTGTGTGTGATGATCCTTGAGAGTTTAGGCTCAGTTTGGAATGCATGAGATCCTGTCTCAGAAAAACAAATAAATCCTGACCCTAATTCTGTTTTCATTTTTCTGTTTTGCTTTGTTTTCCAGAAAGACCCTCTGTTATCTCAAGCCTGTGTTGGCTGTCTGGAAGCTTTGCTCGACTACTTGCATGCCAGGAGCCCAGACATTGGTAGAAACCCTCTTTATTCTCTCATTTTCCCATGATCAAGATTGGAAGGAACCAACCCGTTATCTTACTGCTCCAGGGCTTTGACAACACGGCAAACGACACTGTCATGCCCATTGTACAGATGTGGGCACTGAGTATCAGAGTGTTCAAGTGATCTACTTAACCATGATCACAATGTTCCTAAGTAGCAGAGACCTCCCAGCTGTCTCCCTCAGCCAGGCTAGAGACCTAATGAATCCAGTCTGCCTAATTTCCTGCCTGCAGCTGAGCACCTTTTTTTCCCCCCATACTCTTGGTTCCTGGAAGAATGGCGTTAACCACCTGAGAACTGATGTTTCTTGCAGCACTCCATGTGGCCTCCCAGCCCTGGAATCGGTTTTTGCTATTCACCCTCTTGGATGCTGGAGAGAATTCCTTCCTCAGACCTGAGATACTGAGACTTATGACCATGGTAAGTGCAGAAAGGATGGCCCCATGGCTGGACGATATCATCAGGGTGGTGCTAAAAAGGTCCAAAACATGACAGTGTTTTAGGTGACCCTAATCTTCAAGGAGCAGAGGAGTTGGGTGGCCTTCACCCTACAAGAGACCTACCAGGGATTTCATGTGAATAGCTATGTCTAACCTTAGGACACATTTTCTCTTTTTTTTTTTCATGAAACAATGACCGGGGTCCGTTACCACAGGACAGGTCTTTCTCCAGAGGTCCCTCATGCTGGAAAAGGAAAAAGACAAGTAAATGAATAGTAAGGTTTGATATTTTCAATGAGTATTTGGCACATAGTTCATGTTGAAAAAGGAACAGAGGAACAAGCTCATGGACGACGGTGAAGGCCACTCACAAATAAATTAGAGGTGAAAACACAGAGAAAAGTCGCTGCTTTTGTAGCGTGTAGGTGATGTTTCAGTCGAAGCTTGAAGGCTCAGTAAGCAGAAGGAGACAGTATTGTAGGAAGTGAGGTGAGGCAGGAGGTCCAGAGCACATAGGGAGGTTCAGGAACTGCACTCAGTTCATCTTGGCCACGAGTTTGCAGTGCAAGGCTGGAGGAGGAGGGAGCCTGACGAAGAAATCACCAAGGCTAGCTCTCTCAGGATCTCAGTCTACCTGTGTGTCCTGTCCCATGAGACACCCCCACCCAGTCTCACCCGTGCAGAGCTTAAAAGCAGGACCCTGCTCTTGAGAACGGTGTTTGTTCTCGGCTCAGTGCCGGGAACAGAGACAGCATCCCCTCTAATTATGGATATTTGGGGCTCTCTTCTGGGCTAGTTTGTGCAGTATCGGAGCAGCAACATCCTGTCTGGTGAAGAGGTGGGCCGTATTTTGCAAGGTGCAGCTTTGGCGGACCTGTCAACTCTCCCAAATGATACACTCCAGGCTCTGCATGGCTTCTTCCTGCAGGTGAGTGGGGAAAGTAGGCTATGCAATTGTATGAGGCTAGACCCTCAAGACCATCTTCTCTGTGGAGAGGGGAAGCTCTGGCCATGTAAGCCATTGAGAAGTCAAGAATATGGATAGTGGGGGACAGTTAGAGAGGGCCTGTCTCTCCTATAGGTCCAGAGTTCGGGTCTCCTGACGGACCGCAAGACAATCCAGGCCTTGCAGGCCTCCTTGGAGGGCCTTTGCTCCAGCGCCTTCCCAGCCCGGTCACCCCTTCAAGACATGCTGTATCCTTTCTTGCATCTGGGGGCTTTAGCCTGGGCAACGTCACCAAGGCCATGGAGACTCTAGCATTATGCTTTCTCCAACTAGAGAGGGCTGATGACTGGTAAATCCCTAAGAAAGCCTTAGGTTGAGACCACTCATGGTAGCACATACCTATAAACCCCAGCACTCAGGAAGCTGAGGCAAGAGATCTTAAATTTTCATGCTAGCCTGGGCTACACAGCAACACCTTGTCTTTATACAGAGGAGAGATTGATTGGTTTGCTGGGTGGTGGTGGCACACACCTTTAATCCCAGCACTCAGAAGGCAGAGGCAGGTGGAGCTCTGAGTTTAAGGTCAGCCTGGTTTACAAAGTGAGTTCCAGGACAGCCAGAGCTGTTACACAGAGAAGCCCTGTCTTGAAAAGTGTGTGTGTGTGTTGGGGGGGGATGAGCAAATCTGTAAAGCCTAGCTGTCCTGGTAACCAGAATTCCCTAGGTAGTCATGGGTTGGACACATTATAGTGTCTCTGTGTGTGAAAGAGGAATACTTCTAACCCATCATACTGGTTTCTCCTTTCGTGAAACAGTTCGATGTATTAGCAACTGCTTAGTTCCAATTTTGGAATCCATGCCACCAATTTTGGAAGCATCCATTCTCTTTTTAAAACATTTTAATTTTATGTGCATTGGGATTTTGCCTGTATGTCTGTATGTATATGTGAGGGCATCAGATCCCCTGGAGCTGGAGTTACAGACAGTTGTAAGTCACCATGTGTGTGCTGGGCATTGAACCTGAGTCCTCTGGAAGAACAGCCAGTGCTCTTAACTGCTGAGCCTTGCATCCATGCTCTTGTCTGACCATTCTTGCCCTTTTGGGGTTCTGGTATATTCCCTCCCTGCCCCCTTAGCTCTATTGCTTTTCTATGCTCCTCTCATGTTTCATGCCAGCTGCCTTGGAGGTGTGTCTGTGTCCCTGTCCCACATCAGAGACTGAGCCTTAAGGACATAAAGGCCCAGAAACAGAAGTTGAGACCTGTAGACAAATTCAGGACAATCGTTGATGGAAAAATGACAACCTCATCCCTCAGCCATTATACTCCACTGTGGAAATGGAACTGGGAAATAAAACAATGCATTCGTATTCGTGTGTGGGCTTTCATTCTGAACTCATCTTTCTGGAACTCGTTCCTCAGCTAGTCAGTTGGACACTGGGCGTCAACAAGGATGGAGAGAGACAGAGACAGAGACAGAGAGAGAGAGAGAGAGAGAGAGAGAGAGAGAGAGAGAGAGAGAGAGAGAGAGAGAGAGAGAGAGAGAGATGAGATTGACAGCATTTAAGGAGCATGTGCAGAGTGCCTCATGGTTGTACATAGAGAACATGAAGGAGACCCTGAGCTGGGAGGGTAGAGAAGGGTTTTGTGGTTGGAACTCTGAGAGGCACTTTACCTCAGTGGTCATGGGAAGAGGTAAAAATCTCAGACAAAGAAAATCAAATCCTCAGTCGGCCTCACTGAGCAAATCTGCCTCAAGTTAGCCCTCCCAAAGCCCTTTTCCATACCCACATGGGCAAGTGGTCATTCACATCTACCGTCGCTGGCTGCTGGCGCACACCTGTTTGTGTATCAGCCCAGCCTGGGCCTCTGCGCTCCAAATGGTCACTGCACCTGTTTTCCCTAGACCTAGCTGTCCTGACACCCCCATCCCCCACCCCCGAGCAAAACTGAAGCTGTATGAACAGATGGAGAACTGTGGTTTTGAAATTAATGGACTGGAGGGGCAAGCAGGGAGTGCCTGCGTTCCGCGCGACGGGTCTGCTAATTACTTTAAAAGTTCGTTGGAGCTTGTGAACTGCGGTTTAAAGACTGAGATGAGACATCAGTCACCGCACTTACAGCGCCCGGGCAGCCAGGGTTTTGGGCCTGGGTTTGCTGACGCGCTTTAAGCAAGGTAAAGGCCCCATCGCAACTTAATTTCCTCCAACTCGACCAGAAACAAGATCTGCTGCGCCAAGTTCTGCGACGACTTCTCCAGGACCGCGCCAGGGCTGACAGCTGCAGCGACAAGAACCCGAACCCAGCAGGGGCGTGGCCGGAAGTGAGGTCAGCGGAGCGCAGCGGTTCGCGGCCCTATCTCATTGGTCCGGAGCAGCTCAGTGGGTGGGACGGCCGCTGGTCGATCTAGCGCGGCTGGCTAGGTGCTCTGGAGTTCTGCGCTTTCACCGGAGTTGGGTGCTTCCGGCAGTTGAGCTGCATGCCGAGGGGCTGCCCTCACCTTGCGCCGCCGGCCCGGGTAGGTGGTGGCGGGGGTGCTGGGCTTCTTAGGAGGGGAGTGCTGAGCTTCCCGCACTGCGTCCGGGTTTCGAGACTCGGACACCTTTTAAAAGGGCTCGCTAACTCCTCCGAAGCCCCAAAGCTTGGAACCAACCAGCGGCTGCCCACTACTCTTCAAAACGAGTTCAGAGTTTTTTGCTGAGCCTGGAAGAGCTCTGGGGACGCTCGGGACAGAAGCGAGGTTTAGAGGCCGGATTGTAGAGTTACAGTAAAGAAAACCAAACCTGTCCCCAAGTCCGCTTCTTTCTTTCTTTCTCACGTTTGTCCTGCTTGAGTTATCTTAGTTTGTCTGGTAAACTTGTTTACCTAAGTTTTGCTGTGGCCTGGTTCACGCTACCTTGGGTCCTACAACGTGAAGGGAAGGAGAGGAGTCTTAGATGATCTTGGAGTCCTTCCCTAGGTGTCAGCTGTCCCATTTAAGTCGGGCAGAGTTCTCCTAACGGCTGAGCAACTCCAACTCTGGGGCTGGGGTGTGGCAAGCTTTGATATGAGGTGCCCTTTGCTTATTTAGAGACAAGAGACAGTGCACTGAATTGAACGTCGGATTTTGCCTCAGTGTAGGAACAACTGTGAGGCTCTGAACAGTCACTTCATTCATTCATTCATTTTTGTCCCTCAATTCCCACATTAGTAAAACTAGGTATCTGTGGCCTCCCTTGACTTTCGTCTTCCACCCCCATTCTATCCATTTTGGAGTTTTAGACAATATCTTGCCATGTAGCCTAGATTAGTCTCAAACTTAAGGAAGTTCACCTGCCTATTGTACCTGATCAGTTTCCTTCTAGCATTTTCTTTTTAAATTGTATATGTGTTCATGTGTGTACACCTCTGTGTGTGCATGTGAAGCCAATATCAACTATCTTCCTTAATTGTTCTCTACCTATTTGTTGAGGCAGGGTCTTTCACTGGACCTGGAGCTCCTAGATTCAGCCAGACTAGTTGGCCAGCAAGTCCCAGGGATAATTCTGTTTCCAACTCTAGGACCACAAACATGTTTCCAACTTTACCAACCTAAGCATCTCCCTAGTACTATATATATGTACACCTGCCTCTCTGTATCAGGAAAGAGACCTCTTTTACAGATAAGGAAGCTGTGGTTTAGAGAGTTGAGACAGTTGCCCAGTCACAAAGGCAGCTGTGGTTAAGACTCCAACCTGGAGCTCTAGCCTCAGTCCATCCCTGTCTACTGTAAGTACTGCTAAGATCTCTCTTCCTCTCTTCCTTCTGTATTCCATAGGCCTGTTTGTGTATACACTTGTCACCAGTCCTGACTAGATCTCCAGGGCTTCCCGAAGCTGGCTGGGTTCTTGGTATTGGAGGTTGGACCGTGTCTGGGGAAGTTGATTTTTCACTGAGCTCATTCGCCTTCTTTGTTTTTCCTTCTCCAGCTCCAGAGTCTCAGATATGGACCTTCTTCAGTTCCTGGTGTCCTTTGTCCTACTGCTGTCTGGCACAGAGGTCACAGGCACCCTAAAGACCACCCTGGACCCAAGCCTCAAGATTTGTATCTCTTTGGGGATTGGGTGGGGTGAATGAGCTCTCCTTGAAGGGCTGGTAAATGAAATCTTTCAGTGCCCATAACTCCTTGGGGGGAATTCCTGGGATGAGCAGATAAAGTTGCTAAGAAAGGGAGGGAGGAGGAGACAAGCTCTAGCCAGACTGTGAGCAAGTCAGTTTTCTCCTGAGCCGGTTTCCTGTATGTTAACTGAAGTTTAGGTCCATCTCTCAGATTTGCAAAGGCATAGTGAGTGTGCGTGTATAGTGTCTGACTGGTAAGACCTCAGGCAGGTCCTTTGGGACGTTGGATTACTAGCTTATCTTGACATTGGTCCTCTGAACCATACCTTGGCAACACAAGGATGAGACAAGACCATTCCTGGTTTTGAAACATCCACAGAGCTAGAAGGAGAAAGCATGTGTATTAGTTACTGTTCTGTTGCTGTGAAGAGAAGCTATGACCAAGGCTGCATTTGATTGAGGCTGGCTTACAGTTTCAGAGGGTTAGTCTTTGATCATCACGATGGGGAGCATGGCAGCAGACAGGCAGTCATGGTGCTGAAGCAGTACCTAAGAGCTGCTTATACCCTGATCTATAGGCAGGAGAAAGAGAGAAAGAGACTGGGCCAGGTGTGAGCCCATCTCCAGTGACACACCTCTAACAAGGTCATACTTCTACCTCCTAATCCTTCCTAAAGGGTCCATCAAACTGAATCCACATGGGGGCCATTCTCGTCTAAACCACAACATCCAGACGAATGGCCTTTGTTCTCTGTGGTGGAGGCTCTGGGAGGTACAGGAGGTCTTGGGAGAAACACTGTGCTGTGGGAGCATCTCAGGCTGAGGGTAGAGTTTAAGCAGATTGCTGGAGGTCCTGGAACAATGAGTGATTGTGAGAGATGACAAGAAGACACCGGAATGGGAGGAGACGTGCCAGGTCTTGGAGTGTTGGGTTTCAGCTCTTTTCTGGGGGTGGAGTCTCTGAGATCTGGATAAATGGTGCATTACAGGACATGCATACTTCCTAACAGTCCATCTGTTCCCATCCAAGGCTTTTAGTGGCACAGGTTAGGAAGGGGCTCTCTGAGTCAGGGCCATTGGATTGTCCAGGTCGGGCTTTTCTGCCAGTGCCTTAACTTAATGGTGCTCAGACAAGAAGATGTTTGAGGTGAAGCGGCGGGAGCAGTTGTTGGCGCTGAAGAACCTGGCGCAGCTGAACGACATCCACCAGCAGTACAAGATCCTTGATGTCATGCTTAAGGGACTCTTTAAGGTGTGTCCGGGAGCAGAGAAGCTCACAGCAGGACAGGGCTCCGATTTGTGCACTGATGGATGAATAGGAGTTCTCTGAGGGGATAATGTTCAGTGAGGGGGTTGGAGTGGGAGTCAGGTAACTGGGGCTGGAACTAGGGTGTGAAGGTCTCCACAAAGCCACTTAGCCAACATGGGGTTCCTTCAGGTGCTGGAGGACTCCCGGACAGTGCTCACTGCTGCGGATGTGCTCCCAGATGGGCCCTTCCCCCAGGACGAGAAGCTGAAGGATGGTATGCTCTCTCCAACACTTCACTTTGCTCCCTGCCATCCCGGTTCTCCAGCTGGTCCTTCTCTGTTCTTATCATTTGTCCCCTGGGAATATCCTCCTGTGGTACTTGAGCAGTTGGCTTAGGGTGGATAAGGGCCTAGTCATGGTTCTCTAAACCTCGGGTCTGGAGTCAGTTTCTCTGTGCTTAGCACATGCTGCTTCATGCTGCCGTGTGCTTAGGACAGGGGAGCCGGAGAAGAGTCTCTGCCTGTCACCATGCCTAGGGCCAGGGCAGAGCCTGCCAGTCACTTTGGGAAGACAAATAGGAATTGTTCCTGTTAGAAGGAGAAATGACTGCCAGCACCTTTGCTACTCTAGTGAAAAACTGGAACTCCTGAGGTCTCTTTTCAGACAAGATGAGAAAAACAAGTAAGATGAAGGGATGTCTCATGTCCCTTTGTTCCCTCTGCAAGAACTGCTCTTCAGTAATAGCCCCTCCTCACTCACCTACTATCAGATCATTTTTATTTTTCTCACTATGGAAACATGGCTATCCTAGAATTTGATATGTAGACCAGGTTGGTTTCAAATCTATTGAGAATCTGCCTGCCCCTGGCTTCCAAGTGCTGGGATTAAAGGCCTGGCCTAACCAGTCACACTTTAGCAATAATAGTTCTTAGAGTCACTGAGAGGAGGGAGTGTGTGAATGATGACTTTTATAGGGGTCACTCCTCATGCCTCTGAGTTGCTTCTGTTTTCCATTTGGAAGAGAACATGTTATTTGCCTTGGCTCCTCTCTCTGAACCAAACTGACTCTTCAGTTCTCTGAGCATCGAAATTACTCTGAAGTCCATGGGTCCACGGCCCACATTCCAACCTGGCAGATCGTTGGCTTCTGCTTGCCTCCCTGTGATGCCCAGCCAGTGCTAGGCAGGGCTGTGTGGATCTTCTCTGCTCTAGAAGTGAAGATATGGCTACTCTTCATTCTTATCTGTCATTAGAGTGAACACTCTAATGTGTTCACCTCATTAGATGAAGGACATTGGTGGGAAAACTGACCAAATTCAAATATCAAATATCTATAGCTAAGTTAATGTATTGCTGTTAATTTCCCAGTTTAGATACAGTGACATAGGACTATAACATTAGAGAGAGCAGGGTAAAGGAGTTTTATGTTGTAGACAATTTCAAAATAAGCCAGGAGTGGTGCTGCACACCTATAATCCTCACTTTTAGAAGGAAAATCATGAATTCAAAGCCAGCCTGAGCTACGTACTGAGTTTTAGGTTAGTCTTTGGCTACACAAGACACTACTGAAAGAGAGAAAGAGTAAGCACCTAACAGAAAATTAAGTTTAGTTATGGTGTGTGTTGGCAGAAGTTTCTGTCTCGCCCAGTCCTGTAGCCATTTAGTCCCAAATAAACACACAGAAGCTTCCATAAATTATAAACTGTTTGGTCAATGGCTCAGGCTTCTTATTGACTAGCTCAATTATTAACCCATTTCTATTAATCTGTGTATCTCCACATGGTCTTGACTTACCAGTGATGCCTAGACCTCTTGCTTCCTGGGCAGCTACATGGCATCTCTTTGACTCTACCTACTCCCTTTCTCTATCTGTTTGGATTTCCCACCTGGCTAAATCCTGCCTTTCCATTGGCTGAAACAGCTTTATTCATCAACCAATAAAAGAAACATATTCACAGCATACAGAAGGACATCCTCCATCAGGTACACACCCCTGTAATCCCAGCACTTGGTGGGTCGAGGAAGGATCAGAGTTCAGGGACGCCCTGCCGAGCAAAAAGAAATAAAATTAAATGGAAAGAGTATTAAAAAAAAAAAGGGTGGTGGTGGCGCATGCCTTTAATCCCAGCATTCGGGAGACAGAAGCAGGCAGATCTCTGTGAGTTTGAGGCCAGCCTGGTCTACAAGAGCTAGTTCCAGGACAGCCTCCAAAGCCACAGAGAAACCCTGTCTCAAAAAACCAAAAACCAACCAACTAATCAAACAAACAAAAAACAAAACCTCCCAAAAAACACTACAACTCTGACCTTGCTGGCCCTCCTGACAGAACTGACCTTTCACAGACTGCAAATGCCAAGTCATGGCTCTAGATACTTGGCTGCATTGGCTGGAGCATCTTTGTACAAAACAATGCCCATCTCTGATTCACAAAGTAAACCAATCTTTTATTCAAAACAAGGGGAATACCTAGAGTTTTATGTAGCTCAGGTTGGCCCTATGACTCTGTAGCCAAGGATGACCTTGAACTCCCGAGCCCTGGTTTTGTATTGTCTGATGCTCTGCTGTGAGTGCCCAATGCAGCAAGCTTTGAGTCTGAATATGTCCACAGCCCAGTCTTATGGTCTTATGGAAGCAATACTCTGATTGAGGTTCCCTCTTCCAGATGATTCCAGTTTATGTCATGTTGAAAAAAAAATCCAGCAACAAAACAAACACCTAACCAACACAGTCTGTAAAACAGGAGCAGCAGTGGTCTTTCGCTCTAAAGTCCATCAATGGGTATAAGGCCTAGAGTATACTGCACATGCAGTGAGCAGTCTGTGATCAATGGGTGCCGACCTTTCTCTGACTGGTGGGTTTAGTGATGCCTCCATTCCTGGAGGAGGTCTGGGGCCAGCTGGGTGGACAAGAGAAGAGCAATTACCCTGATGACTCACCAAGATTCTCTTGCCAGCTTTCTCCCATGTGGTAGAGAACACAGCCTTCTTTGGTGATGTGGTGCTGCGATTCCCAAAGATTGTACACTACTATTTTGACCATAATTCCAACTGGAACCTCCTAATCCGGTGGGGCATCAGCTTCTGCAATCAGACAGGTGTCTTTGACCAGGGGCCTCACTCACCCATCCTCAACCTGGTAAGGACTGGTCAGAGGGCTGGGAGCCTTGTATCTGTCTGTGGTTGGCCTGGTCAGTTATCCTTGTTTGTGTGTTTCAGGGCACTTTGGCTCATGGAGGCCTAATTCAAGGCATCCTGTGCTGACTTGGAGGGTCCCACATTTGCCTGGGGTCTGGGGCTTAGGTCCTTACATGGTGGGAATAGCTCTCTGGTAATGAGGGAGCAGAAGGCCCAAGAGCATGCCTGGCTTTCTCATCCACAGATGGCCCAGGAGCTGGGGATCAGTGAGAAAGACTCTGACTTCCAGAACCCATTTAAAATAGACCGGACAGAGGTGAGCTGCTGGGTCTGCAGGGGCTAAGGCCTGGGGGTAGTCTGTGAGAGCTTTGAACTTGGAACCAGACAATCCAATGAATACTGGTCCAGAAACCATTACTCAAGTCACTGAAGCTTTTTGACAAGTCATTGTTCTTCCCTGAATGGGGGCCATAGCTGGGGGTGGAATGGAGATTGGGGTGATTCCTGAGGCTGTGTGCATCTTTATCTCATTGCATGATATGTACCCCAAGTTGTGAGTGTCAAGGTGACCAGGTGAGGTCAAATCATGTTCTTCCCTGCTCTGAGCCTCTGATACTGGTACACTGGGGCTTCTGTTCTCACTCCTACACACTCCTTTAATCTAGGGCTCTAAATTTGGCTCTGGGGGCTAACAGCTGCAGTTTGAGAAGACAGATGGTGACACATACAGGGAGGAAGAGATCAGAGGGAGCAGGGCAGGGTCAAGAAGGATGGGCCAGAAGGGCCTCTCCTTTGCCTAGGAAACTAGGACTGACAACTGTAGAAAGTGTGTGGAGTCTGATGGGTCTAAGGTTGTACCTGCTTGCAGGCTGACAAAGTAGCCTGCTACTGTTTATAGGTGCCAGCAGGTCATAGACGCTCTTCAATGCCGCAAAAGCAGCAACTAGACTTTTGGACTCATCCTCTTGTGTACCCTTGTTCTTCAGGTCTTTACAGGGAAGGCCAGGCAGATGCTGTGCTTGCAGTGGGTTTGCATTATACCTGCAGACCACTGTGCTTGGAAAGTTTGCCATCTTTCTTCACAGTGAATTAAACGGGACTATGCTTTGTCCAGGGAAAGATACCCCATCCTTCCAAGATTAGTCTCTCTACAAAAATAGTCCTGAAAAATGTTCTGGTTAAAGTTGCTAGAAGGGAGGTGTGCTGGTACTTGCCTGTAACCCAAAGCACTAGGAGGCTGGAGCAAGAGACCACCTTGGCTATATAGTGAATTTGAGGCCAGCCTGGACTGAAAATGCCTTAAAACAAGAATAAAATTAATCAAACGAGAACTTACCAGATTTTGCATTATTAGTGTGCTCAGTAAGAACACAGGAAGGTGCATAGCACCATTGCAAATTGCCTGTTCCATAGCCTACTGCTTGAGATTAATCTCACTGAGAGGCAATGACCAAATCCATTCAGTTTGTTTCATGTCATTTATTGAGGCTGCAGCCAGATGTATTGGTTTTTGATTGTTGACTTGATTTTTGAGTCTTACTCTGTAACTCCAGTTGACCTTAAACTCTCCACATTCCTGCCTTACCCATCCTTTTGAGTGCTGAGATTACAGGCATGAGCCACCATGCCTGGCTATTCTGATTACTGGGGTGAGGCCAACCTACAGAACTGACTGCAGTTACCATGTTCTCCAGGGTCCCTGACTCAACCAAGACTTAAGTCTTGTGGGAACTAGTGTGTCTTATTTTGAACTATCAATGCATTATCTGTTACATTTAGATTTTTACCTGCCAATCTCATTGAATGCATTTGTTGGTAATTATAGGACACAATAGCAACAGTCATCCACTATGGATAGACATTCCCATGGCCCTTTCTGTCCCACTTAACACTTTAAGTCTTCAGTATATTGTTTGGCTTGGCTTTCAGTACATTGAGGTATTTAACTGCAGAATTTTAGCCTCAGTTGCCTGTGTGGTATAATGCAAGCTTCTCAGGTATTAGGAATAAAAGAAAAGTCAAGCGGTGGTTGGCACATTTCAGTACTTGGAGGCAGAGGCAGGTGAATCTCTGAGTTCAAAGCCAGCCTGACTAGAGTACAAGAACAGCTAGGGTTTCACAAAAAAGCCCTATCTGTGGCGGGGGAGATGGGGGCATAAAAAATAGTTTATTTGTGAGAGTGAAATAAGGTTGCACCATCCTTTGTGTGTGTATAGGTACTCTGAGGATGGTGTGGGACACAGACTAGTTCACAGTATTGACTGTGTCAGTGTGAGTATTCCCATCATGTGGATAGGAATTACACACCCAGGGACTGTTTATCATTCTCTATGTTTTCTAGAATCTCAAGCCATTACCAGGTGCTTGAGTCATTGCTGAATTATTCATGTGTCTCATCCTGATACCTATAATTTCTCTTTTCTCTAGTTACCCCCTCTTTCACCTAGACCTTTCAGAAAGTTCGGATGTGATTGGGATAAAGGAGTTCTTACAAGGTTATAGAGATCTGTTGGCCAATTGTCATGGCAGCACACATGTGATCCCAGCTATTTGGAAGGGTGACTAGGATGATCACTTGAGCACTGGAATTTAACACCAGCCTTGACACTTGGGGAAAAATGCAGGGAAGCTGGCTTTCAGCATTCTCTCCCAGTGGTCACAGATGTATTTAACTCTCCCAGCAACAAGCTATAGTGTGTGTGAGCTTCCTTAGTTGACTCACTAGAGACCTAGTGCCCCGGGTTTTACTGGGAGCTGGTTATATGAGTGCCCTGTATCTAACTAGTACCCAAACGCCAAGCTGCTGGAAGGAACCTTATCAAACTATATAGACTTCACAGACAGTTTGAGAACAGTGATCTACTCTTACTGATTAAGACTGTGGTTTCCAGTAGCCAGTCAAGGGCCAACTTGAGATACATGGCTTTTAAAAGATAGCAGCCATGCCGGGCGTTGGTGGTGCATGCCTTTAATCCCAGCACTCGGGAGGCAGAGGCAGGCGGATCTCTGTGAGTTCGAGGCCAGTCTGGTCTACAAAGTGAGTTCCAGGACAGCTTCCAAAGCTACAGAGAAACCCTGTCTCAAAAAACCAAAAAAAAAAAAAAAAAAAAAAAAAAGATAGCAACCAGACCTGTGACTGTTTTCTTGGGGTTTCTCTGTTATTTCCTTATTTGTTTTGAGATAGTGTCTCATGAAGCCCAGGCATTTACCTCCCAAGTGCTGGGATTACAGGCATATGTCATCACTCATCGACACACCAGCGACATTTACTCATTTCTGTTCATCACCCTAGTTTTTAACCTAGTGGAACCACAGTGGACCATGCCTGAGTATTTATATCTATCAGAACCTCTGAGATTCCTGTTGAGCCAGTGCCTGTTGTATGTAGTAAGAGTAAGGGATATGGCTTTCCCCATCACAGTAGCTGCTACCTCTTCCCAGTGGTACACCCCTCCAGGCTACTTGCTCTAATCATAACCCTGATCAATAGCCCTGGGCAAGACCTTGATTCTAGGTATTCCCAGTCAGTGCATGCGGAGGTGCTCAGGACCTTGGAGAGAGTCTTTTTTGCCATAAAGGGGAACCTAGGGAGATGCTTAATTTCTTCAAGTAGGCTCTTCTTACTGTGCAATCATATATGCTTCTGCCACACAGGAGGCTGAGTCAGATAACTTCCAGACTAAATTTAGTGTAACATTATCATAATATGCTCTTAGATATGACCATAGGAGCAACATAATTTCCTTTTCATTGGCTGGGAATGATCCTGATAGCCCCCCCCGAGACTGGGGCTTGAACCCAGGGCTTTACACATAATATACAAATAGTCCCCAGTCTGTCCACTTTTTTGTATTCAGCATGGACCTCTCAGTGAGAGACTCTCTTAGGAGACAAGAATGGCAGCTGTCTGGGAGGTGAGTGGGCTACCTGGTTGGATTAGTCCTCGTTAATTGGGCATTCCACTAGCTGAATGACCTGAACACATCATTCCTGTCTCTGGACCACTCTTGGAACATCCTCCTTTTCCCAGAGGCAGGTAGGTTATGCCACAAGGTGGCACTCTTAGTTTGTTTTTTAACGCCTACCTAGATCACTCAGTTTTGCCCTAAGACTATATAAAAGGGACATATTTCACAACCTGAGTTGTGTATGCTTTTGTGTTGTATATTCTAATGATCCCTTTTATTCACTCATTTTGTTAAAAATGTACACCAAATGCTGTTGTGGGCCCCTGTGCTTGGGACATAGTGGAACACCACATCCAGTACCAACATTCCTTCTTCATAAAACATAGCACAAAGTAGGTGACCACAAAGGAGAAACACAAGAATAAATTAGTACGAAGTTGAAGAGAGGGTGCCAGTGAGGAGGCAGATGCCAGTGAGGAGGCCGCCATGGAAGAGGTCCCAAGGGCAGTGGTAGCAGAGCTGGAACAAATGGGACAAAGCAGACAGAGCTGGAAAGGGCATTCTGGGCCTAGGCCACAGCATGTGCAAAGGCCTGCAGGAGTGTAGTCATGGAAACCATCCATCAGTTACAGAGACAAATAGACACAGCAATTCAGGTTTGATAGTTAATTAGCCGCAGAGACCAACAGAAGCTATGGGTTAGCTTCTGGAAAGGATGAAATGAGAAGAGTTGTGACCTTGAGGTTGAAGTTGTCCTCAAATCCTTGTTCTCTCCCATCTCTGCCTGCCTGGCATTCCCCTCTTTGACTTCTGATCCGTTCTGCCTGTTTGCTCCTTCCTGGGTACTGTTCCTCATTTGCTAGAGGCAGCACCTGTAGTCTAGGACTCCTAGCTTGCTTCCCTCCTGAAGGTGTCAGGAAGGTATTCCAAGAGCTACACTGCTCCCTCTTCCTGGAAGAGAGTATTTGTTTTCTAGTTCACACCTTGGTTGGCATCTGTCTCCTTATCTGCCTGTCAAGCTCCTGATTATCTCAAGATCTAGCCAGAGGTTTCCCTGAGCCCTTTCATCTGATTCCCTGTCTGGGACTCCCTGAGGGTAGGGCCTTCTCCACGAAGCTTCTTATCTTACATTCCATGATTTAGCTCAGAGGAAACTCTTTGCTGCTCTAGACTAAATCTAGTCTGCTCATCTCAACAGTTCATTCCTAGCACTGACCCTTTCCAGAAGGCCTTGAGGGAAGAAGAAAAACGTCGGAAGAAGGAGGAGAAAAGGAAAGAGATCCGGAAAGGCCCAAGAATCTCAAGATCCCAGTCTGAGTTGTAGCCCTGGAGCAGTTTGGGGCATAAGAGAGCAGCAAGAGGACAGTCAGAAGAGGCACAACTGTGGGCTGTGGCACCAGCCACTTCCAGATGGGGACTTTGTTTGCTGGGTCTGAGCGTTGGCCGAAAAGACTGAGCCTCTGGGATCTTAGGGCACACCGAGGGAGCCTTGAGAGGAGCTTGCAGGGAAGATGTTGGGGGAGGCTGGCTGAAGGGGCTCCTGGTCTGGATCATCTTGGTGAATAAGGGCTGCAGGCTGGCTGCTGTGCTTTGTGAGGAAGCAGCAGAACCTGGCTCTGACTTACAGGTGAAGGTGCCATGCTTGCAGCTGACCTCATTCTTGGGCTGCCTATTACCATTTCAGCTCTGTGCAGAGCAACACTAAAAGCCAGCAAATCCATTGGCCTCACCAAGGCTGATGAGGAGGCTGTAAGGGCACTAGTAGCTTCTAGAGATGTCAGGACCAGCCTGGAGTATGCTTCTGCCTTATCAGGAGGGAGCCCAGGCCTCTGCATTGCACAGAAGCAAGAGCCGGGTTCAGGCCTCCTCTTCCCTCACTACTGCCCTTAATGAGGGATCAGTTTGGAAAGGGGACCCAGAAGTGTCCTGAGAGGGTGTTTTATTTCAAGGAGACCTTAAAAGAACATGATCTCTATTCTCAGATAACTGGGGACAGTCATTGAGTTGGTTCAGGGGACAATCAACTTGTCTCTACTGCTAAAAGATACACAGCCTGTGTGTGGGGAGAGGCTGTAGGAAGAGGTTACAGGAGGCTGTGCTTTGTAATGGGGCTACTGTGAGCTGGATTGATCAAACAGTGGGCTTCCCAGTCCAGGGTTCAAGCAGAGTCCTGTGGCCACAGGGCAGAAAGCTGTGGAAGGAGTTAAGCCCTCAGAGAGCACCCTGGTTTGTATGAATCCCAAGGCAGGTGGCTGCCTTAGCTCTGTTGAAATTATAGCTCTACCTCTTTGATCTAGCCAAGCCAAAATGTATCTCTTAAAGGCATGGAGACACCCACCATCCCAGAATCTTCCCCTTCAAGTACACTCTTCCTCTTACTGACAGTGCTCATGAGACCTGAGTCTTAGCCTGACTTGACCCTGGCCTACTCTCTCCCTTCCCTGTGCTGTGCCTTCATTGGTAAAATAAATTTGATGATGTCTGAATCCTCTGCCAAGCTCTAAACTACTTCATTGGAGGCTGGTCTTTCTACTGGCCAGGATAGCAAAGGGAAGCCAGGTGCTGGGGAGGCTTTATGGAAGAGCCCAGAGTAGCCTGCATCCCAACCGTCATTCAGGAAAAGTAAGGGGGATAAGAAGTATTTGGGACGAGGGCTGGAGAGGTTTTCCCATCAGAAATGCTTGTTTCCCCTGTGGGGCAGAAGAGGTAGATAACGGGGCCACTCCAGCCTGTCCCTTTCCAGCTGCATGACCTAGTTAACTCCTGTGAGGTTCATATGAGAAGACAACACTAGAGTTGTGATTCACTGGCCTATGTAAAGGATGAGATCTGCCCATCATCTGTTGAACATGTGCTCGTGTTTGTGGAACTAGGGGCCAGAGCCAGCCACTAAGGTCCTCCCTGTCCCTTCATCTTTGAGAGGGACTGTAGTTGCTGGCTTTGCAAGGAAAATGCTTCCTCTCTTAACTGAAGGAAGAACTTCCAAACAACCAGGACAGTTTTGCTGTAGATCTTTTTGTTTATTTTTGTTTCTTTGAAACAGGGTCTCACTATGTAGCTCTTGCTGTCCTGGAACTCACTCTGTAGATCAGGCTGACTTCAAACTCACTGAGATCCACCTGCCTCTGCCTCCTGAGTGCTGGGATTAAAGGCATGCACCACCATGCCCGGTGGTGGTTGGGTGGGTGGGTTTGGAATACAAATACACCACTTGAGGGAGGGCCCTTGCTTCCCCAGCTCACCCAGCAACTGCGATTCAGTTATGTGACTGAAGCTCTACCAACTGTGTGTTTAGGGAGTGGCAGTGGCCTATAACAGAGTGTGTACATTTTCTAGTGACCTCACCAGTGGCCATTGCTAGGGGTGCTCATGTTGGCAACAGTGACAGTGTGGTCTTAAGATTTTCCGGTCTTTTAAGTCCAGTCCATGGTACTCTTGGAGACTCTGGGAGTCCCTTAATTATCCCTTAAGGCAAGGTATCTCAGCAGTGGCACCACTCACATTTTGGACCACTTTGCTGTTGTATGAGAAGGCTATCCTGAGTGGTGTGGATATTTAGCAATATCCCTGGCCCCACCTACCAGATGCTAGTAGCGGTCTCACAGTTAGGACAAGTAAAATTGTCTCCAGCCATTGTTAGATGTCTCTAGGGATGACAACCACTGCTAGATGTCTCTCCTTCCCTTCCTCAGTCCTCCATTTTCCTCTGCCCTCCCTATCTTTGTCCAGATAGATGTTGAGGGCTTCCAGGGAGGATCCTTCTGGGTTATTCTTCGGAGCCTGTCCTTGGTCAAAGTCGGCTGTGGCTCTTCTAGTGTCTTCCCTTCCCTGCTCTTTAAAGCAACAGGCATTTTGGCCTTGCTTCCCTTCTCTGCTCTTTTCTTCTTGGACAGTCAAACCCTCTAGACTGAAATCTGCCCTACTACCACCTTACAGCCATCATTACTGTTGTTCCAGCTCATTTCAGCCAAACTCTTGATTCATCCAGCCAAAAACCTTCTTAGAATAGTGATATCTGGAAGATGATGGAGGTCGCCTGAAGCAGAGCTCTTAGAGGAAGTCAATGGGAAATAGTTCTGTGATGTACAGCAGCTACCCAACCCACAGTAGATATCTCAATGTAACAGTCCAGCCACTCCAAATGAACAATCTAGATCCTAGGGAGTAGCTTATGCAGTGTAACAGGCTGGCCTCCTAGTAGAGCCAGCTGGGAGAGACATTCAGTTGTGTGGGCAAGGCTAGAAGGAGATGTCAGGGTTTTGCTGAGGTTTGGGCCCAGAGCAGTTACCATCTTGTAACATTTTATTTATTTGTTTATGGGTTTTCAAGGCAGAGTTTCTCTCTATAGCCCTGGCTGTCCTGGAACTCACTCTGTAGACCAGGATGGCCTGAAACAGAGATCTGCCCACCTCTGCCTCCTGAGTGCTAGGATTAAAGACCTGCATTACTACTGCCCGGCTTTAAAAAAAATCTTTAAGGAAAAAAAAAGACTACAAACCTAGTTCAAGGCTAGTAAGGACAACATAAAACATTGTCTCAAAAGAAAAGGTATGTGTCATGAACTGTTTCTTTTCTTTTTTAAAGAAGTATTTATTATTATGTATACACTGTTCTACCTGCATGTATGCCTGCAGAGAGGGCACCAGATCTCATTACACATGGGTGCTGGGAATTGAACTCATGACTTTTGGGAGAATAGTCAGTGCTCTTAACTGCTGAGCCATCTTTCCAGCCCCCAACCATTTCTACTGAGCCTTCATTTGTGGGTTTTCAGATCAGTTGACTAAGCAACACGTAAAGGGCAGAGAAGTTATGGGAATTGATTCCCTTTACTTTGTGAGTCCCAGGGTTTGAACCTGGCAAGCACCTCTATCCACTGAACCACCTTGCTGGTCCCAGACATGAGTCTTGACATCACAAGTCAGGTCCCTTGGATCACACCTCGTTTTCTTGATCACTTTGTACTGTTGTCTGTTACTTTTATGTTCCATGGTTTTTTGGTTTTTCAAGACAGGGTTTCTCTGTGGCTTTGGATGATGTCCTGGAACTAGCTCTTGTAGAGCAGGCTGGTCTTGAACTAATTCACAGAGATTCCCCTGCCTCTGCCTCCCAAGTGCTGGGATGAAAAGCATGTACCACCGCCACCTGGTATGTTCTGTGTTTTTATTGTTACACACACACACACACACACACACACACACACACACACACACACACACACAAAGTACTTAGTTGCAAGCCCTTAGAGTATTTGGGGTGGGGGCAGAACTTGGCCACTTGAGGGCAGTTTTCAATCCCTTAAAACACAGGTGGCCAAACACTGCCCTACAAAAAAATAAAAATAAAAATAAAGGGGTGGGGAGCAGCAGCAGCAACCCAAGGTCGTCAGGCCACAGAATCTCACCAAGAACCCTCCATGCACACCCCGCCAAGAAACCCTATGTAAAACCTACCTCCTGCTGAGTTCTTTGCTGCCATACTGTGTCTTTGCCAAGAAATCTCGTGTGAGTTTTGTTACCTTTCGCCTCAGAGCTGCAACACTTGCATTGGGGAAACCTCCTCAGTGCTGCAACTCTTATACCTACAAGGTGAGAGCTGTTTGATTGCTACAGAGATTAAATAAATGTGAAAATTACAAAGTTGTCCCTGTGCTATTTTGAAGATGATACAACTGAGTCTTAGTGACAGTTGCCTAACCAGTCCAGGAACACAAGGTGGGATAATGGGTTTCTCCATACAACCTGTATGTTCTTTAGTTCTGGCCCCTAAAACGGTTTCCTGGGACTCACAGGAAGATTTTCCTCTGTATGCCTTGAAAGCCTTTTCCCTGTCAATAAATACACACTTATGTTGTTTTTTCTAATGCCCATTCCATAGTTTTCTAAGGATGCCATGATAATTCACAGTGTGGGGCTTCTTGGTTTTCACTAGTTACAGAGAACTCTGTGATGAATGTCTTTGAACACTAATCTTTGTTTCCTCGGGATAAAATCTTGGAAGTTTGCCCTTTTGTGTACTATGTGACCACTTGTAAGATGACACAGTGAGGTGACTGCTGGAGCGGGATGCTTCAGAACCCTCGGAGTTCCGCCGCCAGAGCTTGGGCAAGTGACCTTGTTTAAAGGTTCCCATGATTGAGGGTCAGTTGTAAGATGTTGACAGCACTCAGGCGATTCAAGCCCCCCCCGTCAAGTCTTGGGTGGAATCAAGTGTGACGGTCTATCCCTGAGTGTTGGAGTACTTTGATTCTACTCAGGGCTAAGGTGAGGGAGAGGCAACTGGAAAGATGACGTAATGTGCTCACAGCGTAAAGGCGGTTGTGGTAGGTAGCGCTGGGCAACCGTGCGTTAACCCTTCTATTCCCGGGCTCTCGACGAAGTTGCTCCTGGAGCTGATCCAACGGGAAAGTAGCGGCTCCTTTAAACCAGAGGAAGGCTGGGTCGAGGGCTTGGCGGCTACATGGTGCTAGCGCTTGGAGACCGCGAGGGGCGGAGTCCCGCTATGCAAATCTGAGCTGCTGATCGATGACGCGCCATCACCCCACGAGCCGCTTCGCGCGCCGATTGGCTAAGCGGAGCCTGGTCCCATTGACAACAAACATGGGGGCGCGGAGGCTGGGGGCGGGGCCTCAGTGGGCGCGGCCCGGGGCGGGGGAGTCCTGCCCCGCCCCTTCCGCGGAGCCGGGGCGCAGCTCAAACATGGCGGCGGCTGGCACGGGCCGGTGAGGCGGTACCAGGTGGGGGCTGTCGGGTGTCATGGGCGGTGGCGGCGGCACCGCCTCCGCGTCTCCGTGAGCCGAATCTCACGGGGGACTCTGCGCCGAGCCGGGCGATGGACGAGAGCAGCGAGCTGGGCGGTCTGGAGACCATGGACACCCTCACGGAACTGGGCGACGAGCTGACTCTGGGGGACATCGATGGTGAGTGGCGGCTGGGTGGGAGTGTGGGGGGCGCGCGGGGAGGAAGGGGTTACGGCGGCGCTCGCGGGTGCGCGTGCGCCCACCCCGCGACCGCCCTGGCGTACGCGGGAAGGAACCCGCGGGCCCGACTGCCCCGCGGTTCCCAGTTCTTCCTGCTTCGAAGTCTGAGCCCGGGCCATGGCGCGGGGCTCCCGGAGGCTGAGGAGTCCTGGGCGCCGCGGGGCCTGAAGCGGGGCTGTGGGCGTCGCCAGTGCGGCCACAAGAGGAAGCCAGGCAGCCGCCTCCCTCGCGCGCCCACACGCGCTCTGGTTTGTCCGGTCTTCGTCGCCAGCGTCCCGCGTCGCACCTGTCACTCCCTGCCCGGCCACTGGAGCGGCTTCGGGATTTCCCGGACTGGCTCCTAGGCTTGGCTCCCACGCCCCTGCTCTTTTCGCGATTGACTGACAGCCGGGTCTCCAGGCGCTCTGGAAAAACTTTGGGCAACAGCTGCAAAAGCAAGTTACTGATGGAGCGGGCAGAGACGGCAGAGTGCGGCGACTTCGGCTGGAGAACCCGGGCGCGCCTGCT